TCTTTGTTGTACTGTTGGTCCTGTTCGAGTCAAACCATGTTGTGATAAGCGATGCCTGCTCAGGCTGTTCGAATAGGAAAATGCCTTGCCGCAAACTTCACATGAAAACAGTTTCTCCCCACCGTGCTCATGAATGGCCTGATGGTGTGCAGTTAGGTGGAAGTGATGGCGGAAAGATTTCCAGCAAATCTCACATGTATATAGTTTTGGTGGGGGTTGGTTGCTTGTGCTAGCATTGGATCCTTTATCTTGAGGATAGGGATAATAGGGGTCAGGGTTTGTTTGATTAGGCTGTTGACTACCGTCACCCCCTTGATTTGCGGCGGATTTGGTTTTACTGCGCCTCGGCTTGAAATCTGCCCTCAGATGCAGTTTTTCATGCCTTTTCAGACTCTGTGCATATCCAAAATCTTTGCCGCAGAGGGTGCACTTGTAGTTCTTTTCCCCAGAGTGAACAGTCTGATGTTTGGTTAGATGAAACGGCTCTCTAAAGTCTTTCCCACAGATGTCACAATGAAAGGGTTTTTCTCCGGTGTGCACTCGCTCATGTCGCCGTAAGGTCTCGCGTCGGCTAAATCCCCGCCCACAAACTGTACATAAGTAAGGCTTATCAGTACCGTCTCCTGGAGTACCACTTTGACTGCTTCTTCGGCGCTTTGCTGCTTCTCCTGGAGCGCCAGGAGGTCTTGGTTCTCTTTTTTGTCTAGGCTTCCGAGGACGTTTGGGTTTGGCATTTGGATTGTTGGCATTCTGCGAATTAGGCTGTTGGGAGGGGTGAGATAGAGGTATCATTGAACCACTCAGGCATTCCCCATTGCCACCATTTCCTGCAGTTGTTGCTGTTCCCATAGGCCCAAAGCCAAGTCCTCCTAAAAGCCCTCCGATAATGTCTCTGCGTTCCTCTCGTCCCCCATTACTGTTCATCTCCACGGGCAGGACAGAAGCTGCAGCAGCTGCAGCTATTGCAGACATGGCACTACTTGTGACTTCATCTTCCGAGTCATCCAATAGAGAAGACAAAGGAAGGTGACCCTGCTGTTGGTGATGATGCTGCTGCTGCTGATTTTGAGGATGTGGGTGAAGTGTTGGAGCTAAAGGAGCTTTTCTAAGGGCTGGACCTGTTAAACTATTGCTACAAGAATCTCCAGAGTAGGAAGATTGGTTGCCCTGATGACGACGGTAATCATCAATCCTATATGAAGTTTGGTATGGATCTCTCGAATACTCAGGATTATATTTCTCTTCAGTTTTGCACACAGGATTTTGATTAATACTTCTTCCTTGTGAATATAGACTGTCGCATGACAATCCCACTGTGGTATCCTCAGTCTTACAAAACACCAAATCTTTTGAGTCACTTAACTGTCCACCTGGAAAATCGCTTTCAACCTTGCCATCTACTGACCCTACAGAGCTACCATCACTACTTCTAGATCTCCTCTCTGGTTTGCCACAGCTTCCTGATGCAGCATGATTAAGCAAAGAACTACTCTCTCTAAAGCATCGCCCACAAGCAGGACAACGATAGGGCTTCTCCTCGTGAATTTTCTCATGTCGAGTGAGAGACTCTCTACGGTTGAAGGAACGCTCACAGACAGTGCATGAATATGGACGATCTCCAGAATGGATAAGTCCATGTTGTTGGAGGTGCCCTCTCTTCTTGAACCCCTTTCCACATTCATTGCAGCAGTATGACTTATCAGGACTTGAGCAAGTGGAAGACATGGGGTCTTGATTATCCTGCTGATGGTGGGCATTTTGAGAAATTACATCTTGCGTTGAGTGGGGGAGGTCTGACTGATGATGACTTGTGCTGCTGTTTGGACGACTGCCATCTTGTTCATGGCACCGCAAGTGGCGGCGAAGGGTCGGGAGATGATTAAAAGACTTGCCACACTCTCTACAATGAAACATGGGTTCTTGCTCTGCTTGTGTGATCATGGATTGCTGGTTTTCAGACTTAAGGGTTTGGGAGATATTTGATACCAGCACAGAGGCAGAGTTAGAAGTTGGGGCAGAGGAAGAAGAGGAGGAGACAGTTGAAGAAGAGGATGTTTGTGTTGTGGAAGAGAGGATGGATGGGTCACCACTAAGAACCCTCATACCAACCCCTCCACCAACAAGACCAGAGGACCCGTCATGAACATGTGTCCCAGAACCATGGCAGTTAGCACTGCTGTTGCTACTGTTACCATCAGACTTTCTCTGGGGAAGGTAACCTGCCATAGCTTTCTTTCTCCTGCTGCCACTACCTCCACTTCCCACAGCCCCAGATCCACTATCTCCTTTCACATCATCTTTTGCTACAGAAAGATGGAGTGGGAGAGGCAATGGAAGGCCTGCTTCTTGTTGCATTAGGGAAGCCAACTGATTGGTTGAAAGAACAGGAATACCTTGGAAGTCAAAACCACCGAGTGATGATGGCTGGGGGGCTGGATGTAAAGGGTGGTGTGGATGAGCATGGGTGTGAGCATGGGACAATGCATGAGGCGGCAGCTGCGGTTGCTGCTGTTGGGGCTGGGTAGTTGGATGGCCGTGCGTGTGGGAAGGATGCAAGGCCGGGGGTGGTGCAAGACCTGTGTTCGATTCAGCTAGACCCAGATGATTATGGGGTCCCTGTTGAACAAGAAACTGCTCTAAACTGGCATTTGTGGGAACTCCAGAAAACAGATACTGGTTTGCGGCAAGCATGCAACTGAACTGCTGGTGTAAACTTCTCGCATCGGACTGAGGTCCAACTAATCCAGCCACAGAGCTGGTACTGCTCGGTGGATTGTTTGAGGTGGTGGTTGAACTTGAAGGGGACGGTGATGATGAGGATGGACCAGGAGATGGCTGAGGAACAGAGAGACCAGGGTGCAAGGGTGGTGGTGCTGATGTCACAACCCCTCCGATTACTCCAGAGCCTCCTCCAGAACTTCCCCCAGTAAAATCAAAACGGCCCATTCCCGAGTGGAGTTGCTCCTGGGCTAGCGCAGCCTCAGCAGGATGAAATGAGCGTAGAAACTGTGGATAGCCAGCCGCAGAACTGCTGCTCCCACTGCTGCTGCCCATCTTGCTCGATTTGCGAGTGCTTTGTGAGGTTGAGGACTGAGTTTGTTGGGGAAGAGGTGGAGGAGGTGCACTCATTTTGGCAAATAAGGATGAAGAATCAGCAAAAGCATTTCCTCTAGATCCTTGTAGAGAACCAAGACCAAGCCCAGACAAGAGGCCACCAGATGCCTCACTTTGTTGTTGCTGCTGCTGTTGAAGCTGCTGCTGGTGCTGAAGTTGGACCTGTTGTTGGTGCTGGAGTTGTCTCTCCAGCCCAAGTCCTTTGAACTGATGAGCTTGGTGTCCACTGAGCATTTCTAAAATGTCCATAGGGTACTTTCCAAATTGGAACATCTCCCTCTAAAGGTTAAGAGGTGCTCCTTGGATTTTATTTTACTGATCACTTGCTTCTACAAAAGGCTAGACAATGTAGTCTAACCTAAAGTCCCGAACTAAACCTACTTCTAAAATTATTTAAAATATGTAAACTGTTAGCAGCTACAGTTTTTAAAAAAAGCCTTTTTTGGAGTAAAACCTCTGACCGTTCATTCTCCCCCCCCCAAAATCGTTCTGGCTATATTAGTGAGCTGTGATAGTTAATAAAACTCTGGAAGTTAAATAGTCATCTATAAATAATAAAAAGTAAAAAGCGGGTTTACATGATTATGCAAAAATTCACAGGTCAGTGTTAGGTTTTCCCAAAAAAAAAAAAAACAGGATAAAAATTTAATTGATAATTTGTGAGTGGAAAAAAGGGTCACTTAGTGTTTGAATCCATTAAAAAGTAAAGTGAGGAAGGAATGTCTCCGAGTTTTGAATTTCGTGTATTCCATGGAGAGGGTTTCAACAAAATGGTCGTGCTTTGAGTTTTCCTCAAGAAAAAAAAAAATCTTCATTTAAAAATAAAATGATGAGCAACTCTTTCTCTGCTGGAAGACTTTAAACGCAACACAGTGATGTCCTCAAGTAGTTCCTTGTCTTCACTGGACGCACTCTTCTTCCTAAAAAGAGAGGATAAAAAAAGTCACTTTAAATTACATTAAACAAAAATGTTCAAACAATATCAAAAGAACAGAACAATAATCACAACTTGCCAACATTTACACCCATTCTACTAAACACACAAAAAGAAAAAAAATACAAACACTTACACAAAGGTTTAAAAATGTGCTGTTTTTATTGATGAAATAGCTTTGACACATACAGTAAATGTGACATTGCCTTCTCAAACAATTGCATTGCTTAAGCTTTTTGAAAAATATACAGCACACAAAATAAAATACAACATACAAACTACAGGAGCCAAAAGGGAAGGATCTCAAAGATAAAAGCGAACTACAGAATGTTTTGAAAATATGGTACTGAGAAAAACGTTTAAGTAGGTGTGAAAAATGCTGTAAACAAAGAATGCTTTCAGAAATATAAATAGTGTTTTATTTAAATGTGCAAATGCAAAGTACAAATTAAAATCTAGCTCAAATCAATATTTGGTGAAACCACCGTTTACCTACAAACCAATAGCAATTTTTTATTAGTACACTTGCCCAAAATTGAATTTTGTAGGATTATAGTCAAATGTATAATCCATTTCACACGTAGATTGAAAGTTACCCAGTCATGAACTGAAACAGAGGTGTAGGCTGAGGCTTAAAACCCGGATAAGCACAAACAAACCCCTGCTACCAAAGTGAGGTTGAGAAAATGAGTATCTCCCTGCAACAGTGAAGCATGGTGGAGGTTGCACTAATGTCTGGGTCTGCATTTCTGCAACATCATTAGGTTTGTCTGCGATTACATGAAGAAAGAGAAGGATGTGAGAAAGGGTCATACATCAAAGATCTGTGGTTAGTTTCCAGGATGTTTCTGCAAAAACTGTGCAGGTTGACCTGGAAGAATTGTTTTGTTTTTGTTTTTTAAGCAAAATTCCCTGCATTTTATTAACACTTTCATTTTTGAAAGTCTGGATAGTTTAGCTGTGGCTCAGCTGGTAGAGCAGTGGGTCAACAACGCAAAGGTAATGGGTTCAAATCCTACAGAAACTGATCAAGAACTGACAAAAAAATGTGTTTATTCTTTCAAAAGTAAGCCTTTTGGATAAAAGCATCTGACAAATTCATAAATGGATAGTTAACAGCATTTTTACACATCTGCCTAAAACGCACACACATCATAAAACTAAGGTTAAGACAAGAATCTTTAAAATACTATGCTTGAAAGGTGTATATATAGTCTTGTAATAATAAAGAAGTAATAAGCAAATTAATATAGTTATGACAGTTAAATATTTGAACATAAAATATAAAATTTAAGCGGTAGCCTCTTTTAAACACATGAACACAAGTGAAAGTAATAAAGAAATCAATAATATAAGAGCCATTCAGTCTCTGAAACTCACCAATTGATTAGTAGGTTGAAAGTTAAGCGCTTGATTTCCTCCGAGATAGTGGTGTTTGTCGTCTTCCAGGGGATGAGGGTGTGGGGAGACTCGACACTCGTTTATAAATCACATCCCCTGTGGCACAGCAAAAGTTTCGGAACACAAATGAAACACCCATCAAACTTGACACATTTACACAAAACTCGTCGCTGCCATGCATCCGTTTAGTTGAAATGTTCGCAGGCTAATCATTAAGTACGAAACAACAGCACAACCGAAACAGAAATAGACCGTTAAAACATAAAAGTGCCAGACGAATTGTTTCGGATGAATGCTAACTTAAAAGCCTCTGCTAGCATGTTAGCTACCGTTAGCTAAATAAAGACGTCGTAAGCACGCGCGTAGCTAAAGAGTGCAGTCAAAAGCTTTGATCTCACACCTGCTCGTGCACAGTGAAGTCCTCTTTAAGAGCAAAAAGTGAGAATAATCACAGAATGGAGCTCCGTGTGCGCAGACGGGCACAAAGGCGGTTTCCGATTTCAGGTTAGCAGGTCATTTTTGCTCATCCCATAGAGAAAAAAACACTCCGGAGGGCCTCTCCATAGCTTCCGAGCCGTTAATTAAACCCTAGTTTCCACTGGCGGCGCTCACTAACAACCAGGGGCGAGGGATACAATCCGCTCCTTTAGATTTCACCCGAAACAGCCTCCACGGAATGTTTTCCGCTTCAGTTTGCGGATTATGGCTGCCAAATATTTTCCGCCCCGTGTCAATTTTTAGTGCCCCCGTCTTCCTTCGGGTACTTCTGTTCGCCTCTGAGTGGTCGTTTCCGGTCGAGTTCCGGATGGTGTTACATATTAAATCGTCCGGCATTGTTCTCGGAAATAAATATAACGCGAAATAAATGCCATATGCAATTGTTATTTCAATTACAGCTATTTTATTATGTTATGAATAGGCGTACATCGTAAGTATGGTGTTTGGAGAAACTTAATCATGCACTCGTAGTTTCTTAATCGACAAAGGGCGACAAAAAATAAGCAATAAAACAAAATGTATTATCAAGCACCTTTGAAATATCTACACGTTTAATTCACACGGTTGCCCACGCTAGACTAGAAACATCACATTGTTTTAGTGACGGTGAGCTGTGACTGGTGGAAAATGACTAGTAAGAACAGCTGTCTCGCACATATGTGAAGCAAGTAATTAGAATAATTATTTCAATTAGTGAGAGAACGGCAGAGGGAGAGAGATGGGATTTTTTTTCAAAACACATGTACAGCAGCAAACCAGCAGCGCCTCTCTGAAGCCATTTTATCAACATGCCGCCGTCACCCCCACCCTACCCGAACGTAAGGTCCTCGCCCACCCTGCCCCTTAAAATGGCGAATTGCAGCGAAGGCTAGTCCGTCTCCCTCAGGATCCATGCCGTACCTGTCACCTCCAATTTTAGATCAATAAATAAACTTTTAGAGAGATATTAATATTTCAACAGCTATTTGTATCACTAATACAATTATTACTAAAACAATCACGCCAGAATATGATTAACACTCCTTCTATAATGTATACAATGTTAAATTAGACCAAAAATGACGTGTTTTATCTTTCGTTCAAATTAAAGTGTAGCATTGTTTTTAAGAAATGTTAATAAAGAAAAGTTTTAACAATCAAATAAGCATGTTAATATTTATAAAATAATGGTTACCGTTCTGTCCTTTTTCATATATATCATTAGGAAAGCTTTTTTGTTGGTGAAAAAGCAAGAATACAACAGAAGTGTAATAGTTTTGTATATTTAAAGCACTGCACAAGTTTTTGGCAGGTGTAAGAAAATGCCATAAGCAAAGATTGCTTTTAGAATTTAAGTGTTAATCAAATGTTTTTAAACAAAACCCAGTGAATAAAATCAAAATTTCATGTCCCTTTTCCAGAAAGCAGGATTTTTTTCTCGGTCTTTCTCGACCCCATCCTCTACTCTGGGAATCGAACCAGCAACCTTCTGATCAGCAGTCAGTTTCCTCACAACTTTTCCCTTAACCTCCCAACTTCTTTTGGCTGTTCATAATAGATTCTGTCTTTGTCCAAGTGTATCTACAAGAATCGATGGTTTAGCGTTGTTCTCTAACTTTGCATTTTGTACATTTACAAAAGTAAACAATCATTATTTATATTTTTCACAGTACTGTTTGAGCAAATCCAGAATAACAAAATACAATAATTTTAATTTAAATGAGAACTAATTACTCGGGTCACACCTTTGCATTTTATTGGTTCTTCAGGAAGGAGACATTGCAGGCTTGTACATTATTCTCTCAGAATAAACCTGCATGAAACATTTTCATGGATTTTTATAAAAAAAAAAAAACAACAACATATAACTAAACTAATATACAGACAATGCTGAGCTATAATAAATTAGCAATGATAAAATAAATAAATAAAAATAAAATGTATAAAGAACACTCCAATGTCCAGGACAGATTTTAATGGAGAGAGTTTTATTTAAAAATTATAATTCCTACATTGTTGTTTTTTTTTTTTTTGCTGTAAATATTTTATGCATGGCATTTTGGGATATATCCCCTAAAATGGACAAGTTTAAGAATATCATGGCAAGAAACATTTATATAAAAATCTTAAAATAAAACATTAAATACTCTGGTGGTTATTTTCCATAAGTTTGGTGAATGCAGCAATGGAAAACAATCTGTATATGGTTTTTAAAATTATTACCATTACCATTTTTTTGCATTCAAAAAGACACTCGATTAAAAAATAAAATTATATTTCGGGGTTTCTGAAATGCACATCCTCTGACTTTACACAAAGAAAAGATCAGATCAAATGCTAGATAAAGCATTCCAAAATAGACACTGAAATACAAACAAGCGCACAAATACGGACACACAAACTGGACACATACACACCTTGACATCAGAGTCAGCAATATGACATCATCAACACTGGCTTTGACATCTTCATGCGTTTCGTCTTTTCACTATGATTGCATCTGCTTTTTTGTAGTTACAAAGGATAGAGTGCACACTGAAAACATAAAAAACATGTCTAAAATCACTGAAAAATAATAGTCATAAAGAATTTGATTAATAGTGATGACTCGTATATATGCATGTCAGTTATTCAGGATTCTGTGATGTCATTCATCAAGGCAGCTAACTTCAGTTAAACATAATGAAAGCTTGTACACCGCGGACTGATCTAAAATACTAAATTGTGGCCCAAAAATGTTCCCTCTGCCAGATTTTTCTGAGACATTCCACCATAATGGTGTTCATTTTCTCTCTACACAGCTGAAAAGCACAAAAATCGCTAACTAAAAAGACATTTCTTGTATATAATAGAGGTAAACAAGACACATCTTAAATCCTAACTCATTGGTTAGTTAATGCATCCTAGTGTGATACAAAGCAGCTTTGCAGATTTATTTCTATTTTTCTGTTTTGCAGACTGACTAGCGTTCCGCCTCAACGTTCTGCACAGCAGTGCCACAGAAAACAATAAAAAGCCTTTTAACACGGAAGCACAGACACAGATGAAGAAGTTTCAGAGTAGCCCTTGGATTAAATTGTTCATTGTATAACCAAACACCTTCCCCCCATAATACAACAGTTTCTGTAGCTAATTACGTATAAAGACTATGCTGTCTTTTGGACATACTGCATGCTCATGATTAAATCGTCAGCTTTTATCGCTTGTAAATAACAGAATAACGTTTTCTGCTGTCGTATGAGCCATGATTCTCATGCAAGAATGAAGCATGACCCTCACTTTTCAGTAGATGAGTCATGTTTCACATAATTTTAGATTAGATAATACAACCTTATTTACCCGCCGATTTGACAGCCTTTTGATCTTATTATAAATGTTATCAACAATGCAAAATAATCACATTGACAGTCGCGTCAACTTTGATTCACAGTCAGTACAAGAGACAAAAAATCTCTATTCATCAATACAACACCCGTCTCCCAATGAAACTGGTTCCCTCCATTGGAATCCATATGAAAAAGCTCTATAATATGGCATTTGGACTCATATTAACAGTGCAGAATAAAGAGTTAGGTCACAAAATGAGTGACATGTCCTTCAAGTTCTCTCCGACAAAGTACCAAAATTTTCTTCACTTAATGGCAAAAGTTCAGCGTAAAAATGGCCACTCGTCAAATCTGGTTTCTGGTTGCCATGAGGTAAGTCAGTGTCAGTTTCCTCCGGAACGCTCCTGCTGTTTTGCTGATGGTGTTATACCTCCACACCTCTTTAAGAGAGAATTGTCAGAACAGAAATGAACCCTAAATTCAATAGATTTTACCTTGGAATGTAAAATCGAGAAGCCTATTCTATTAATGAGCATATCTTCTGGTGCAGACTCAGAAACGGTGTGATCAAAACACTTTATGCTTCACGCAGGCCAAAAGAAACCTAAGCTCCTCTTCAGGTTTCTGGATATTCAGAATTTGGCAATTTAGGGATCTAATAAATCACTTTTGGTCGCCGATGACGACCCCATTCAGAAGGGCCTCAATCCCATTTCCCTCTTCTTATTTTACACCTCACCCTTCCTCTCTTCGGCTTGGACAGTTGCATTTCCTTCAACACCTTTCCATCTTTCTTTCTGCTGTCACACAGTTACTTCGTTC